CCTCCTCCTCCTCCTCCTCCTCCTCCTCCTTTCCTACTCCTCCTCCTCCTCCTCCTCCTCCTCCTCCTCCTCCTCCTCTTCCATCCTCCTCCTCCTCCTCCTCCACTTCCTCCTCCTCCTCCACTTCCTCCTCCTTCCTCCTCCTCCCTCTTCCTCTCTCACTCCTCTTCCTCCACACCTGGAACATGGTAAAGAGAGATGCGCTGAAATTGCCGAAGAATTCCGGGTGATCCTTGCCGAAGAGATGGGTCGCCATGACGGCATAGACGCAAGTGATGAGCATCATGATCATGAACGCGTTGATCAGAGGGACCAGGGCAGCGGCCAGCGCTCCCATGATGCGATTGAGAGCCTTGAGCTTCTTGAAGATGCGGATAACTCGGAACATCCTGAGGGTTCTGAAGAGAGAGACGAGCCGGAGGGTCTTGGAGTCCACGACGTAGGACCAGACGGACAGGCAGACGACGAACAGCTCAAAGATGTTCCACATGTTGGAGTAGAAAGGTTGGAAGTAGTTGTAGGAGCGGGAGAAGAGATTGATAAGAAGCTCCTGCCCCGGATACTTCAATGGACGCAAAAGAAGGGGAGGAGGAGAAAGGCTGACGAGAGGTGTGAGAAGGAACGGGAGGGGGGAGGGAGCGACGGAGATCAGGAGGGAGGGAGGGGGGGAGGGAGGGAGGGAGGGAGGGAGCAAGAAGCGTTCGAGGGGTAGGCGGTGGAAGGGGGAAGGAGGGGTCCACTTACAAATGCGAAGACCATCTGCCAAGATTGTCAGTCATCCCCCACTGAGACCACAAGGAGTCCTACCATGATGCAGAAGTTTATGAGGGACAGGATCGAGTACATGGCGTCCGTCTCCTCCAGCTGCACCTCCGCCTGGATGCAGTCGAGCGAGAAGTTCGCGATGATAGAGAGCGCGATGAGCACCTGGGAAAAGATCGACTCGTACACTTGCAGTGTCCTGAACCTGGCCCACTCGAACCAGCTTCCCCCATGCTGCTCGATCTCCTGCGCTCTCTTCATACTCGCCAGCTGATCCTTAACCCCCAGCTGCAGTGCCGAGCACCAGCTCTTGACCTCCAACGCGGTCGAGGAGTGGAAGACGTACGCCCGCCCTCCGTTCCTTCCGCTGGAGACCGTCTGAATGACGAATGCAGTCTCCTCCTCCTGCGACTGCGGTTCATCAACCTCCTTCACGAACGCGATCTCGTGGAGGGGGACCCAGTCACTCGCTTCTTCCGCGCCCTCATCCAGGAAGACGAACGCGTCTTGGCACAAGATCGCGTGCTTACTCTTCCAGCTCACCAGCGCTGTCACTTCCTTCCTTTTCAACCTCCCGTCCTTGATCCAGCTGCTAGCAGGAGGAAGGTGGTACACCGTCTCAACCGCCTCCGCCTTCACGGTGATGGTGCCGTACTTGTTCGACCCTTTGTTCTCCTCCACTTCCAGGTTCGACCGATTTACCTCCCCTTTGATGACAGACTTCAAGTTGGTCTCGTACCCTCCGAGAAAGTCTTGCTTTGACAAGTCTGTGGTCCCGATCTCGTCGATGTCGTAGATGTCAAACTTGATCTCTTGATGCAAGTTGGGTATGAAGTCTACCTCTATCTTCCTTGTGAACCTGTATCAATCAAACTCAGCAACAACGGCTCTATCTCAACCTCCTGACCGCTCACTTTGGGTTCAGATTATCTTTCATTTGCTCAGTTCGCCCGACCTGCAGAGCAACAGTCAACGCTCGCCAGTCTCTCTGTCATGCTGCGCTTGCTCACTTCCACCCAGTGATTGTTCTTGTTCTTGGTAGAGACCTGGACGTGCAGTCACACGTCGATCAACATATGGAGCATGGAGAGTATACCACACAGGTAGGGTCCGACTTCGACAGGAAGTCTTTGTTCACCAGGTTCCTGCAAGCTTGTCAACACAGTGAGCGGAGGGACAGGTTGGCAGTACGAGCACTCGATGGAGAGAAGGTACGCCACCAGCTTCCCCTTGTCTGGCAGACTTTCCTCAGACGACTCCATGATCGGGGCAGGCTTGCTTGCTGCAGTATCGAAGCCATTGCTGTGAGCGATGGGCATGATACGTGATGAGAACCTTGGGGTAAGCAGGGTCAACAAGATCGAGACGGAAACGACGGGAACACGAGAGACGTTATGAACACTGGTTTTCAAGGAACAGGGTAGGACTCGATGCGAAGCTGCGACGATGGAGCTGATGATGTGATAGCTATGGGACTGATGATGTGATAGAGACGAGCGTGCAAAACAACACCATGTTCTATGACATTCACTGCAGAAAACTGATGCACTCAATACAATGACTGACAAAACAGATTGGATGTTGGCGACAGAATTCAGAGTCACGAAGGAGCAGTGGGAAGGATGATTACGAGGAGAGTGAAGTGAAGACAAGAATGTATCAGCCAGGCAAGAGGGAGGAAGAATGAGAGAGTTGAGGAGAGTTGGTGAGGGGTAGAAGGGGTAGGGAGCGGTAGGGAGCGGTAAGAAGGGAGGGGTATTGCATGCTTTCTCGCAGAGCAGCGCATGGTTGGCACTGTTGTCAATCATAAAACTCGTTTTAGAGTTAAAATGATTATAACTTCGTCTGGAGTACAAATATCGACTGTTGTCGAGCCACCCCACCCTTCGACCACCCCCCAACATGGAGAAAATTACCCCTCTATATTAAAGTCTTTAGAGGGGTAGGGGTATGTAGCGGAAAGGGGGGTAGGTTGTTCAACATCGGGATATTATCATCCACTAGGTAGTACCCCCACCCCTTGTTTCCCAGTCACATATATCTTTCAGGTCATGACCCACCCCCATTGTTTCCTTTCTAGAGACCGGACCCCTCCTACCGGAACAGACTCTTCACTCAGAGGCTTCTTTTGCTCAGGCTCGGGCCACGGGTGGGTACTTGTACCGTACCGTACGGTTCGGACTTGCGACCACCCCTACTAACTGCGGTTCTAGACACCCCTCCGTGTACCTTCTTGGACTTAACTTGAACGGGGATTCAGTGACCCTTGGCATCCTCATGGGCCCGGGCCTGCAGAGTCCGGCCGGAGCCATTCCCGGGCCGGTGGCAGATCGGACGGTGGGGCAACCGGGCCAGCCCCAGGAAGCCACCGTCGGTCACCAGCGAGGTCATCGAGAAGGAGACTGGTGCCGACTCCTGCCCATGGAATCTCACGCCCACGGTGACTTGGCGATCAGCAGACTCCAGCGACTCGTATAGTCCAACTAACACAATCGTGAAACTTTGGAGCAAGAATGTACAAATGAAGTAGGTAGGAATGAAGTATTAGCTCAGCTACAGCCAGGAAGGCCAGCCTCTTCTTCCTTCAACCAGAAACGTGATGTTGATCCCCACAAACCCGAGCAACACCAGGCCTGCGAAAAAGGACCATGTCAAACCTTCATGCCCGGCAGAGTTCCTGACCGTTACCTCCTCCAACAAAGCTCAGCAGAGGGCAGGTAATTCCATGAAGAAACGTATCTGCAGCGGCAGAGGCAGGGATCGCTAGGACCGTCCCGATGGTGACGAACAGTGGGCTACTCAAGGCGATGGCGATAGCAAGCCACACAAGGTATGCTCCTTCCAAGAAACAGTCCAGGAGGAGGTAAGGAAGAACATCTTCATGCGGCAGAACGAAAGTCTGCGGCGAAGGTTACCAACATGTCATGTTCGCGTCATCGAGTTGACCGTATATCCGCTGAAGTGCAGAATCGCCGCGGGAGCCCACAGCAGCGTCAGGTTCCACAACCCCATCCACCCCTGAGACAAGGTCACCGCCGCAGTGGTCGGAGAGCTCGACCCACCACCATGAACCCCAACGACGAGGCCGACCGGAGACCCTCCAACGAGTCTTGCAAGGGCACATAAGACATGTGCCCATACACCGACTCGTCCTCGTGCGCAACCTCCTCCTCGTTGGCTTGCGACCCGAGCATCTTCAGCAAGACTTCATAGAGTGCATAGCAGATGGCTGAGCACAAGCACAGCGTATCCCCCCAGAGATTTTCACCCAGCACCACCTGCTGAGCTGCGGACTTGGCTACACACGGCCACGAGCTACAAACAGGGTCAGCAAGCTCAAGAACTGCTCAGCTGCGGGCATGCCTGATCACTGCGACACCGGAGAAAGTGCATATCGTAGCCAAGACCTTGATAACTGTGACCTTCTCCCCCAGAATGACCACAGAGATAATGAAGCACCAGACACAGCACGACTGCCAGGGGATGAGATGGGATCGGCAGGGCCAGCAGACGCTACCTGGTATATGACTGTGTTGACGACATCGTCCGTCAGAGGTATGGAAGCGAACCACAGCCACGTGCACAGGTTGCACAACACTGAAAGCCAGAAGCTGCTCCACTGCGAGACTGTCAGCCACCAGCCTGCCACAGAACAGGATGAGGTGCTACCAAGAACGTGCCCTGAGGGCGGAAAACCATGTTGGTAAGAGATTGCCTCCCTTCGCTCTTAGGTATCATGCAGGCAGTGATTCCTCCCATGAGGAACCCTAGGACCATACTGAAGTTGTGCGCCATCCATACCAGCATGTACGGATTGTTGTACGGATCCACCCCTGAGAGGACGGACTTTGTGACTTCGATCTCTGTGACCCACGTGGCAACGGCTAAGGCTATGAAGAAAAGAGCGCTGATTCGTTTCCAAGGGATCGACCATGATGAAGAAGCTATCTCCAGTTCTCGGCGATGGTAGGCAAGTGCAATCCTATCGAGAGATCGGAACTCGTCTGAGTTTCTCCGGGAGCTCGGTGCTTCTGTGCTTGTGTCTGGCCGGTCATCGCTGTCGACCACCTGGTCCAGCAGAGCTTCATTCATCGTCTCGTTGTTCTGGGCAGCCATGATTGGCGCTGCCGTGCAAAGCCTTTGATCCGGCGCAACTACAACATTTTCCTGTGAATTACAAGTCAGAGTATGAAAGCCAAGTCATGGATCGATGGATCGATGGCTCTTGTAAGAGCTTGCGCGTGTGATTCCATGACCTCAGTCACTTCTTCGCTTGCTGGGCATCAATATGCCACTCAATCTCGTCCCGCCTTTTGTGTGATGCGTTGCGCTGGCACCCTCTTTCTACTCTCCTGCTCTTACAGCGCAATGGACTAGAGTCGAGAGACTCTCTAGCACTCATCCTTTCAGATATACGAAATAGGCATCGCCTTTTTTGCGCAATCGCTACATCCAACCAAAAACTGAAGGAAACAAAGGTGAAAATCCTACCCCACAATCATCAACAGTGATCCCACTACCTGGAACACTCTTTCACAGGACTCTTCGACCTATCTTGAATCAATCTTGTCCTGTTTCCTCTCCTCCACCTGCTCTCCCTCTCCCTCTGTCTCTGCCTCTCCCACCATCTCGTCCCTTCGCTCCCCCTGCAACATGGCAAACTGGAAACCAGACTTTCATTGCCATATAACGCTACACCACCCCCTCTTAGAGCCGAGCAGATTCCTCCCTAGGTAGGGTGATAGAAACCGATTGTACCGGTCATATTCAGCGAATTCACACAGAAAGAAGAGGGTAGGGTGATAATTTGAGGATGGACCATGATTTGTGTCCTCATACCGCACCCATAGTACCAGTACCCCCCTCCCTTCTATCATAAACAAGGGATGATTAGGTGGGTAGAGGATAGGCACAGGGTGGGTGATGTGAGCTAGAAGGAGGGGTAGTGGGACCCTCGGCCAGTAGGTGGCAGGGGGTGTATGAGGGGGATGAGAATATGAAACTGGGCACGAGAGGGATGAGGGGCTTTGTGACAGGTGGGGTAGTAGAGATGAGAAAGAGGGGGGTGGGGGTGAAAGGAAAGAAAGAAAGAAAGAAGCCCTCGTGCACAGGAAAGCCGATCGCCATGCCCCCCAAGTTCGACCCGTCGCAGATCATCGAAGGTGAGGAGGAGGAGGAGGAGGAATGGTGAAGAGGAGGACGAGAAAATCAGGAATGCCAAGCACCTGGTGGAGAAGGAGAAGCAGGAGAGAAAGGGGCTCGCACGGACTGGGATAGCTGCGAACAGGAACTCGTGCGGATGAAGGATCGCGAGCAGGGGAGAGAATGAGTCGATTCAGAGAGGATGTCAAGTGAAGACAAAAAGCAGGAGCTAGAGTATACGTGTGACGTGCTAGAGGACGTTCAATGTGTAGTATAGAAGGAGGTAGACAAACAATACTCCTTGATTGGTGAGTGTTGACAACATGCAAAAATGTGGATCAAGGGTCTTTTTGCTTTATGCATGACAGTATTGCACTCCTGAATTAGCTTGAGTGTTTGAGGTATTTGTCACGATTTTGATGTGTAATCCTGTGAAGTTTTTTCTTCGAACAAGAATGACATACTATCTGCTGTGCTTCCTTTGTTTGGTTGAACCCGTATGGAGCATATACAAGACACGTATACAAGACAGTTTCTAGCTCAGGGGGAGGGAAGTTGCTGCACATTAGACGGTGCCGTGTAGTTCTTGGGCTCTGTCCCACCCGCTGCTCTCTCCCTTGTACGAGCATCTGAAGTCGTTTCCAGTTTCCATCCGTGTCAAGGGAGGCGAGGTTCCCGGAGGCTCCTCCCTCGCCCCCAAGATCGGTCCTCTTGGTATGGTAAGACGCTCATGACCTGCCGGCTCAGCAGCGCCTGACATGCTGCAGTCCCCCAAGAAGGTCGGTGATGACATCGCCAAGGCCACCAAGGCCTGGAAGGGAATGAACGTTACTGTCAAGCTTATCTGCCAGAACCGTCAGGCTACCGTAGTCCTCGTGCCCACCGCGTCCTCCCTGGTCGTCAAGGCGCTCAAGGAGCCAGCAAGAGATCGCAAGAAGGTCAAGCACGTCAAGCACAGCGGCAACATCTCCATGGATGAGATTGTCGACATTGCCCGCCAGGTGAGGGGGGGAGGCGATGATTCTGCTGCGGCTGCTGCTGCTGCTGCAAGTATTCGTTGTTTGTGTTTTCTTGTGTGTTCACCTGCTCTGGCTGATTGTTTGCTCCAGATGCGTGACAAGTCCATGGCTAAGGACTTGAAGGGAACTGTCAAGGAGATTTTGGGAACCGCTTTCTCTGTGGGTTGCACTGTTGCTGGCAAGTCTCCCAAGCAGGTGCAGGAGGAGATCGATAGCGGTGAGAGCGACTCGCGACATGCGGCAGACGCTGATCCTTTGTGCAGGGGAAGTCACCGTCCCGGATAAGTAAATGCAGATAACAAGTGAATAGTAAATTTTGGGAAGAGCGGATGTGTTGTGTTGAGCTTGGAGGGAAATTAGGAAAAGAATGAAAAACTCTCATGAGTGGAAATTTAAGTTGGTTATTTACTGCCGTGACACCTATCGATGCTCGTCACGCTTGTTGATATCTAGTCTGTGGTGTTGTAGTTCACGAAAGTTTGAATAATTTCTGCATCCGAGCGTTGTTTGCTGCTTGTTTGTCCAGCGCAGCTTACTGGTTCTATAGCTTTCTTTCTTATCTGAGGTCGAACTTGTTCGTTCGAGATCTACTGCCGATCATGTTGTTGTGTCTGTATGTTTCTTGTGCTTACTGTACATGCCCAGCTCCACCTTCCGCCATCTTCAACGCTCGAGGGTGGAAGGCAGGAGCAGGAACTGGTTCAATAGCGTCAGACTCCTTCTCGTCCTCTCAAGCCTCTACCTAGCGGCTTCACCTCCCGCTCGACTGCTGAACTCTCCTTGGCCTGCTGGGGTCGAAGTGAACGTCAGTCAGGACATGAAGGGGGGAGAGAGAGGGAAAAGGACGACAGGCGTAGGTGTGTGTGCTGGAAAGGAAGGGGCGGAAGGATTGGGGGGGAGGGGAAGGGGGATGGGAGGGTTCGCAGAAGAGAAGTGACAAGGGTGGGAGGAAGCAGAGGCGGCAAGGAGGGACGTGTAGCTGCACCAGCAAGGCTCCCTCCACGTCCGAGGGCTCGAGCTTTCGTGCTCCGGTCGAGGGTGACGAAGCAAGGAGAGTGGCGGCGGCAATGGATGAAGGAGGAGGAGGAGGTGAAGGAGTTGGAGGAATGACCCGAGATCCACCATCGCCCTCTTCGTTGCTGCAGGAGGTACGTCAAGGACGAGGAGGGAGAAGAGAGGAGGAAGAGGGAGAACGAGGAGGGAGGACGAGGACGAGGACGAGACGGAAGGGGAAGGAGGGAGCAGTAGCAGGAGCAGAAGGATCAGCGACTTCTCGTCTCACCTTCCCTCCTCTGCTCTCTCAGCTCTGCCCAGCTGCCATGGGATTTTCATCCCTGTGGCACCAGACGCCAAGGGGAGGATGTGACGTCCGCGGAAGACCTCGGCAGCGTTCTGAAACTCCCGCGAGAGCTGCAGGAGAAGGTGAGAGGAGGGAGATGAGAGGAGGGAGGAGATGAGAGGAGGGAGGAGATGAGAGGAGGGAGGAGGAGCACAGGGGATCAGAGGACGGAGTCGTGCACCCAAAGAGAGGGAGAGGATGGTGAATAAGAGGGAGAACGCGGGCAGGAGTAGGAGGGTGGGAATGCAGGACGGCGGGCAGAAGAGAAGGACTGAGGAGCAGGATAGAGGGAGGAGGAGGAGGAGGAGGCATAACAACCTTTTCAGCTGCCTCAACGACTGCATTGAGAGGAGCAGAAACAACTTGGGGCCTCCCCATCAGACCCTCTTCTTGTTCCACTGTCTCCTCCTCCACCTCCCCCCCCCCTTCCCCTGTCCCTCTTCCAGGGCATGACCCATCCTTCTGCTGCCGCTCCTCCTGCTCCCCCTCCTGCTCCCCCTTCACGGTTGTTTCTCCTGCTCGCCCTTGCTCGTCTCCTGCTATCTCGTCCGACCAGCTCTTCGCCGCTCGCCACACGTTGGTCCAGCGCTCGAGGATGGCGTCGTGCAGGTGGTTCCTGCGCTCCCTTGCAGCCTTCTCGTCCTCCTTGGCAAGAATTGCGATCTGACGGAGCAGCTGCCGGACGTCCTTGCTCGAGGAGGAGAGCGAAGCCCTCCGGTCCTTCTCCACCGCCCTCATGAAGTGATCCGAGGAGATGTCCAGCGAGTTCGCGTAGTCCAGCACAGACTTGAACGACTTCTTCCTCCGAAGCTGAGCCGTGTCCTGCTCCTGCGACCCTCCGGTCTGCATTGAAGGTGTGAGCTTTGCTCTTTGATGCAGAAGGACAGAGAAGAGAGAGACTGGAACGAAGGGAGGGAAGTCACCTCGAAGAAGTCTTCCATGTGCGTTAAGCATGTCAAGCAAACCTGCGCCTAGAGGTCAGAAGATGAAAAACGATGAAAGGAGAGGAAAGGGGAGGGGAGGAAAAACAAGGAGAAGGGGAGGAGAGGAGGGGAGAAGGGGAGGAGATAAAGATGGAGAGGACGGTAGGAACACGGGGGTGTCAGACCCTCGTGCATGGGACCATGCTCGCTCACCTCAAGCGGAGCTTGAACAAGATCATCCTCCAGCTCATGAAGGACGCCGATCGTGATCCTCACAAAAGATGCGATCCCCTGGGACAAACACCTCACAAGAGCCCGGCTCTCCTCCCCGTCTCTTCCTCCCTCCCTCTCCTGTCCAATCACAGAGCCTTTGTTTCTTGCTGCGTTGCTCCTCCCCGTCTCTTCCTCCCTCCCTCTCCTGTCCAATCACAGAGCCTTTGTTTCTTGCTGCGTTGCTCCTCCCCGTCTCTTCCTCCCTCCCTCTCCTGTCCAATCACAGAGCCTTTGTTTCTTGCTGCGTTGCTCCTCCCCGTCTCTTCCTCCCTCCCTCTCCTGTCCAATCACAGAGCCTTTGTTTCTTGCTGCGTTGCTCCTCCCCTCTCTCGTCTTCCCTCTCCCCTCTCCCCTCTCGACTCGCTCTTTGTCTCTTCTCCCCCTCTCCCTCCTCTCTCCCCCTTCCTCCCTCTCTGTTGGTCTCTCCCTCCCCTCACCTCCAAGAGGAGAAGGTCCCACACAACGCTAGCAGCATCGATCGGCAAGACCGTGCAGAACCCCTGCAAGCGAGCCGGGGGATCAGCGAGCGAGGGGGGGGAGGGGGGGGGAGAGGGTAGACCGTCATCCACCACTCGACGAGGAACAGCCTCGAGTCGACTCCGATGGCCTTGAGGTGCCGGTAGAGGTTGGGAAGATGATGGTGAAAGCTCTCCTCAAAGGCTGCCACAAACCTGCGCCCTCTTGACCCCAGCCGCTGCCTCCTCCTCTTCCTCCCCCGCCCCCTCACCTGTCGATCCCGTGGATGTCCACCTTGAGAAAGGCAGGGAAGTGATGCCGGTGCAGGAGGTTTGCCATGCAGACGAACACGTCCGAAGGCTTCATGTACACCAAGAAGATGCTGGCGATGTATCCCATCCCCTGCCCCCTCCCGTCATCCCCTCCTGCCATCTCCTCTCTTTGCTCCATCCTGCCCTACCTGGACATAACCGATCGACGGTCGGAAGCACGAGTAAGCGCGCAGGACGTTCCTCAGGTGGCTGTGATAGACCCCGTCGGTGGCAAACAGCCCCAACTCCGTGTAAGTTCTGAGGAAAAACGTCAAGACGCCTCCAGACCCTCATGGCACTTGACCTGTCGAGATCGAGCTCGATCTGCCGGATGGTTTGGTGATCGATCCAGGGAGGCTCGAGGAACACTTCTTTCCCTTGCTTCTCTTCAGAGCGCCGTACGGACGAGCTGTCGTCTGCCCCAGCATCATCACCATCCTCTACCAGCAAGAGGGCAGTCCTACCGAACATGGCGTGCTCCACGAACTCGAACCCCTTCATCTGGGTCGCCTCCCTCTCGTGGGGGAGTAGCTGCGATACGGGAAGGTGAAAGGAAGGAGAGGACCCTTGCTCTCAAACTTCACACCTCCTGGTCCTTCCTCACGAAGTCATCCACCATCCTCAGCATCTCCTGGTAATCCTGCCCGGCACCTCAACATCATCGCTACCCCTGCAAGCCCATCGACCTTCTCTGAGAGCTTCAGGTCGTTGCCAATCGCGTTCTTCCAGACTTGCCCCCGCACGTAAGGAGAAATTCCCTGCCGCCAGATCTTGCGCACGCCTTCACCGTTGCATCGAGCCTCCCACTCCGGGATGACAACTTCTCTCCAAACCTTGCGGCAGCCTCAGTGTCCCATCCGCCGCACCTCAGCACCGGGCTCACAGTGATAGGGTCTTGTTCCAGCACGTCGTCGTCCTTGCTAGGGGAAGGGAAGAGCTGTTGAGACAAGTCGTTACAAGGCGGAGATCACAAGAGTCAAGCTACAGGAGCGAATGACGACAACATGTCCGTGATTTGCGTCCTCTGCTTCAGAGCTGAATGTCCCGTGCCCCAGAACTGCTCGCCAAAACCATGCCAGCCCCCTGAAGAGAAGGAGGCTGGTCATGGAGGACGTTGACGGGGGGAGGGGGAGAGGGAGAAAGAAGGGGAGGGAGGGTGAGAAAGATATGAGAGAGGATGTAGAGGATAAGAGACACAGGACACATGGCAGAGGAAAGAGGAACAAGCGGAGAAGGGGGGAGAGGGGAACGAGGAAAGAGGGGAAGGGGGAGAGGAGAGGAGAGAGGAGAGAGGAGAGAGGCGAGAGGCGAGAGGCGAGAGGAGGGAGGAGGGAGGAGGGAGGAGGGAGGAGGGAAGAACTTACCTGGGAGTCGGCTGATGTCGTCACCATGTGCCCTCTCTGCAGAGCACTCTCTCTCCGACTCCGACGATTTTCCGCCGCACTCCTGATCATTCCCGTCTCTGACAGACATTTCCTTCGATCTACACATCCAAAGTCATTGCCTTGCTTGTTCCAAAAGCACAAAAGAGAAGCGTCAAACCTGTCGTTGGTGGATCTTGCAAACAGTTTGTTGGCCCCCTCGATCCACTGAAAACAGCGGATGTCACCTAAGGGGAGTCGAAGAGTCTACTGATCACCATGGATATCTTGTGATGAGTTGTATCGTAGCCGACGTCTGTCTTGCTGTTGGATGGAACTTCGCCGGACCTGACAAATAGCATGAGACTGATCATCGTGTACCTGTGGGTGCCATACAAACAACTCTTGGTGCCATCGACTTTGACAAGGCTGTTCTTGGAGTCGGTTTCATGTCTCTTTGGAGAAGCTTTGGAGGACGAGATCAGAAACATTACGGCAAGTCAAGAGGAAAAAAAGACACCAGGTCCATCAATATGCTCCTCAGCCTCGTTGCAACAACCCTGATTCACCTCTGCTGACGGGCTTCACTGCAAACGACCAACCCCTTCCTCTTTCAATCACCTGCCAGCTCAAGGTACTTGCGCATCTCTGAATCTCGCTTCGCATCCGCGTCCCGATCTGCCATGGCCTTCCAACATGACGAGATCAACAGACTCGCTCGGAGGGGAGGGAAAGACGCTTCTCAGTCACCTTCCTCACTCTCTGCACGTAGAAATTCTCCATCGGGCCGATTCCGACCTCCTCGCAACTTCACTGCACACAAGACCCAGCGCTTGTCCCTCACCTTGTCACGAATCGAAGGGTCCCCTCCCGCCGCCATGAGCAATTCAATGAGTTGTTGCCGTACCTGCGCCATCCACGTCAGCCGCTGCTCTCCTGCATGCCCGTCCCTCCCACCTGTATGCTCGGAATGAACAGCGACGTAGTGGCTGAATGCAGTGGCGTGCTCCCCGCAAACTCCTGGCTGTTGACCTCTGCTCCATGGCAGAGCAGGACCTTTGCTGCCTGTGAAAGCACAAGCTCAGGTCAAGGGGCGTCAGCAGACGGAGTCTGCTTGCTCTACCTCCAGGTGACCGCACGAGACCGCACAGTGTAGCGGGGTCTCCTTAGTGATGTCCCTTGCGTTGACGTCGGCCGACGAGGCACAAAGAAGGCCAACGATCTCCGTCCGTCCCCTCCTAGAAGCTTCATGCAATGGGCCTCCTCGGTACCCTCTCTCGTTCACATCAACTCTCTCCTCTATCAGCCTTTTCACCTCATTCTCGTCTCCTGCTGATACAGCTTTGAACAACTTGCCCCGGAACATCGAGAGCCTTTTGTTTGCTGCTGGACGCCTTGGTACAACAGCTGCCCTTGCCAGGCTCCAGCAGCAGGTAACCGCTCACCCCTCAAGTCGGTTCAGGTCATGTGCTTGCTTCGGGTAGTCTCCCCAAGAGGCCGCTCCCTTCTCATCTGCTGAGAGGACCAAGAAAGTCAATGCCAGCATTTTCGTTGTTGTTGCTCGACCAGTGCAACTTGACTTGCCCTGAAATGTCAACTCAACCGTACCTCAGAAATACTTCACTATCTTCTTCCTCTACCACCCCTTTCACCACCACCACCTGCTCCTACTCCTGCTCCTGCTCCTGCTCCTGCTCCCGCTCATGCTCCTGCTCCTGCTCCTCCTGCTCCTCCTCCTCCTGCTCCTGCTCCTCCTCCTCCTCCTCCTCCTCCTCCTCCTCCTCCTCCTCCTCCTCCTCCTATGCCCTCCGAGCCCTCGTCTCCAACATACACCCTGATGCCATTTCCTGTATTTTCGGCCAAAAAGTAGATACAGGTCTTAGTGGGGATGGGGGCTAAATATCAGGCCCGGACTCAGCGGCCTGACTCAGCCCCGCCCGGCCGGTCCGACGGTCGGATCGGCGGATCAGAGTCCCCGCCGGGCCGGGCCGCCGGTGTCAGGCCAGTGTCAGGCGGCGGCCGCGCGTTCCGGGGAGCCTCCTGTTCGGAGCCGGCCGCTCAGTGCCCCGGGCCTGTGACTCACTGTATCAGTCTTTTCTCACCGGGGGGTCTGAGCATGATGCCAGTGAGCACGCATTGAAGCCTCCTCTATACTATCGTGACTCTCCTCAGTCACGATGCCCCGGCGTCCTCGTTTTCGAACACGCCGACGTTGGCAGATTGACCACACGGTCACCGGTGACGGTGAGCCTTTCAAGTTTCAAGTTTGCAGAACCGTGACCGTGGCCGACTTATGATTTGCTCTCAGATCGGCGGCGGGCCCAGTCAGTGTTCTGAGGGCTGTCACACTCCGAGTGTTGAGCTGTGTTCTTTACTCAAAGTTAAGTTAGAAATCAGCCCGGCCGCGAGCCTGCCTGCTAGCCTAGTAGTGTCCAGCTCATTCAACATGATGTCACTCTCCTATAGCCCAAACATCCTGTTCCCCGTCCGAGTCTGGCCTCGTCATGTACCATGCTATCCAGCTCCCCTCAAGAGGCTCCCATCCCTCTCCGAGCCCCTCCTCCTCACTTTCATCTCCTTTCAACGGCCTCGGCATGCCGATTTCTTTTGGCAGCTCCTCGTCAACGTCCTCGTCCTCTCCATCGTAGCTCGCTGCCTCAGACAACTGCCCCCCACTCCGACCTCTGGACCCCGACTGCCTCAGTCCCTCCTCCTCTCCTGACGCCTCGGCATTTGGCTCGCAAGATGCTGCTTGCCTGTCCGTCCCTTGCGAGCCCTCTCCCTCCTCCACCGTCGCTGGTGGAGTCACAAGATCTGTGTACCCTCGTGCATACGGCCAGCGAGCAAGGCCCAGCTTCCGGCAGCACGTCTTCAAGCTCGTCAGCGACATCCCCTGCCATCGTAGTCACCGCATCCATCGCCCCCAGCAGACAGAACAAGGAGGGGCTTACCAGGGAGTAGGCGGCGTCTTCCTGCCTCATGTGGAAGTAGGGGCTCAGGGAGTCGAGGGTGAGCTGGACGGTGACGGGGGGGCGATGGTGGATTCTGGCTCGGACGGAGCAGGAGGGAGCGGCCCGAGTGTCCATGCCGCTTGGGTACTGGTGGCTGGAACGCCTGATCGAGCTTATGCGTACAAGGATACAGGAGGTACCAGACTGCTAGAAACAAATGCTCGCTTTGTCTTCCCGTCTCTGTCTCTGTCACTGTCTCTGTCTCTGTCTCTGTCTCTGTCTCTGTCTCTGTCTCTGTCTCTGTCTCTGTCTGCCTCACTCACTCACTCACTCACTCACTCTCCCTCCCTCCCTCCCTGCCTCCCTCCCTCCCTGCCTGCCTCCCTCCCCTCACCCTGAATACCCTACTCACACTGCCATGTTGGAAACATTCCTGTCCCTCTCTCCTGCTCCAGCACAGTCCTCGCCACGCGGCACCCTCTCGTCCTCTGCCTGCCGGAATATTTTTTTACCCCCTTCCTTCACGTTCCGACTGTCGGCGACGTACCGACCGTCTTATTAACACCTGGAGATTTCCGTAAGTATCCGACGCCTTGAGATCGCCCGCCCGGACCTCCTGCCGCAGTGCTGTCCCGAACACGTCACGGTCCTTCCGCCCACCTTGCCACGCAAACCGCTGACACTGCTGCTGACATGCTACTAGGCTAGCTACTACCGTACTACTGGCTCGGAGCCTCCGGCAGGCAGATGTCACGAGACCGTCCTGGCTCAGATACACCCCGACGATGCCCAGGCGTAGTGGGGACCGTACCGGTACCGTACGGTTCTTGCGCTGTTGCGCGTTAACGGTGCACTGTAAAGCCGGAAGCCCTCCGGGAATAATAACTTAACTGTAGTAGTACGGAATTAGTATAGGTCACGGTGACCGTGATAGTTTTATTACACTCCTACTATTACTCCACGGATGATCCCGACGGTGACGGTGACGGTGCATTGAACGGTCACGGTGACCCGGTCACCCCGCCGACGGTCGGAAGCTGTCCGGAAGCCGCGCAGTGCGGCGGGAGCGCCGAGCGGAGTGAATGGGACTTCACGGTGCCGGGCAGGTCCGAGCCCCCGCGGCCGGACGCCCGGACTCCGGACTCCCGGAGACGGTCGGCGTGCGGTACGGTGAGTATCACTGGCCCGGAGTCTCCGCCCCCGGCTACTAGGTGCCCGGCGGGCAGACGGCGTTCGGGGGCCGCCAGTGCCCGGCCCGGCTGAGTGGCAGGCCTCGGCGTGAGCCCGGCGCCGCGCCCGGCGCCCGGCCGCCCGGCCCGGCCACACCGGACTCGGAGTCACCCGGCGTACTACTGTGACTCGTGTGACAGGGTCCCGGTCCACTGCCCAGGCACGGTCACCGGGGCCCGGGCGCCGGGCCGGGCGGCCGGTGGCCGGGCCCGAGTCCACCGGGGCTCCTCTCCCTTCCTCCTCCCTTCCTCCCTTCCTCCCTTCCTCCCTCCTACCCTCCTGCTGTGATCTCTGAGCAAGCCCCAACAGCTGCTCCTCCCCTCCCCTCCCCCCTCCCGTCGCCGCAAGCAACATGAGCAGCCCTATGAGCATGGACGAAGAACTGCCTGAAGGCTGGACGAAACATTTCTCGAACAGTTGGAAGGTGAGAGGTGGTTGATTACGAGGATGGAGAGGAAACGAGCAGAGGATGGTGGCGGAGACGGAGATGAAGGAGAAGATGATGATTCAGATGAATTTTGAGATGATCATGTGGACAGCTCCTGATAAGGAGCATTCACAGAGGCATTACTACTTCAATTCAAAGACGGGAAAGCAAAGCTGGGAACACCCGAACAAGATGGGTGAGCAGGAACACGATGTCTCCCTTGCGCTCTGTGACATCCTGAAGGAGTGGGATCGGACTCTGAGACGACTCCGAAATTCGATACGTCCGAGGGTGAGGAGTTGGAGGTGAAGACGCGAAGTTGAGGCGGGGGTTGTTAGGGGACCATAAGAGGAAGGGCGCCCCGTCCATGGACATGATAGGTGACATGCTGAATCAGTGCCGTCAAGGGCCATTGCTGATCTTAACTGCAGTGAAGCACCCGCGTCAAAGCATCGGGTAGTTTCGACGGACAGTCCTCCTCGTCCTTGTCCTCCTGCCCCTGCTCCTCGTCCTGTTCTTTCAAGCCATCTTGTGCTCTTGTGCGAATCTACAGTTAAGTTTCTCCCTGTTGTCTACAGGAATCAGCAGATGTTAGCTCCGGGAGAGATGAGCCAAGAAGACACGCCCGAGATCGCTGTCCTAAGAGACAAGCAAGTCAAGAGCCTGCTGTCAACTGTCCGGCAGGTGAGCGTCGGGGAAGGGATGCAGAAGTTTTGTGAGCGAGTGTGAGAGCAGCTATGTTCAAGGAGCAACTCGATCTCCAAAGAACCTGGGAATGCTCTGACTCGGTCTCCCGCCCCATGAGATCTCAATGCGATCTCTCACTTGAACACTTCAGCTTCTTCTTTCTCAGCAATCTCGTCCCCAAACACGGAGAGAAGGCAATCTTCATGGAGACAACCTGGGCACGACCCTTGACTTCTGATCTGTGCAGGAGGACCCGCTGATTCCCTCCAATGCCGGAGTGGATAGCTGCCTACACAGGTGCTTCGATCCTCAGCGTCTGCTGCGTCCCCCTTACCTTGTGCGCCAGAGAACTTCTCAAAGCCGGCATGGACCCCTCTGAATCCGAATCAACCTGCAAGCAGGTGGCTGCATGTGACGTGCCTCTTGTCGCTGTCCTCACCGTCTCCCGTAGCTGTCGGAAGCAGCGACTGAAGCGGCCAAGGTGACCCGGCACATTTGCGGCCTGAGTTGACCCCGAGGCCCTCCAGACCATATGGGAGGCTCGCACGCAGAACAGGAGGAGGGTGGAGAGTTACATACCAGAAGGTAGGACGAGGTTGACACCCAAGTCAAGTTGATTCGGTCGGCAGTTACCGAGAAGGAGTTGCAGAATCGTCAGATCCAGGTGTGTGCCCTTCCTCCTCCTCCTCGCTCCTCCCTCCTTCTCCCTCTTCCGCCCTCCTCCCTCCTCCCTCCGCTCTACCGGTGACGTCTCTGCGCAGATCATGTGGAGAGACACCATGCTGGTCATCAACCGCGATCACTACCTCAAGGTGAGATGGTGATGTGGGCCGATCGCTCCTTCTCTCACCATCTTTGAACGGCAGGTCAAGAGGATGTATGACGAGCAGGGAAACGATCCACAGTTGTTCCTCGTCCGCCTTTTCTGCCTCCTTCAGAGGTCAGTCGAGGACCCCAGCAAGTCATCCTGCTGACCCTCTGCAGATACGAATCGATCGGAGGAGCAGGATATCAGGTGAGAGGAGGGGAGCTCCATGGCGTGCTATCCTAACAGGACGGGTGGAGGCGGCAATTCCGAGCTCTGCCTTCAAGACGCTGCAGGAGGTTGTGAACTTTCCTTTCTGCAGGACTCTCTGACATGGTTCAGAATTTCGGGGTAGCTCATGAGTGTTTTGCCTCACCCTTGAACTCGACCCTGCCGTCGTTCGGATCTGGTGAAGCCTGGTAGTATCTTCCATCGCTGAAGTCTCGGCAGCTTTCTTCGACACAGACATGTTCTTTGGAAGCAGGGGGAGTTTCTTCGACATAAATGTGAGCTGTACATCCTGTAGCGCGTTGATGTAGCAGGGCTCATAGCGAAAACATGTCTTGAGGAGCATCAAACAACAATAGCTGTGAAGCCGTGAAGTCTGATCAAGCTTTCAACAGCGTTGGACTGATCGGGGTAGGCTGGACTTCTTCAAGGGCGGATCGTTCGAGGCCAACCCTCCCTTCGTGAGAGCCTTCAGGTCCCTCTGAGGGTGGTGAGTGCGTCCTTAGGTCGAAGAGTCGATGCAGCTCATGTCGGAAACGATCGAAGTAGTCCTGCAGAAGACGGAGGTGAATCTGGATACGGTGTTTAACTTGACTTGACCGGCTTCTTGGTACCACCAGGAGCACAGTCTGCCCGCCTCCTTCATTGTGATCGTTCCGGGTAAGATACTGAGACTGCAGCTCTCGTTGCTCACTCCATGCAGCGTGGACGGATGAGAGGGCCCATGAGATCATGAGGGAGAGCAGGTGAGATGAAGTGTTGCGTTACAAGGCCTCCGTTCCGGCCTCTCCTTATTCTCTGTGCCCTCTGTCTGTTCGCTGACCATCATCAAGATTTTGCCAGAAATTGATTGTGCTCGAGAAGAGCCAGCACTCATATCGCTCCGGCACTCAGCACAACAGCATCCAACAGTACCATGACGCGGGCTTCAGGTGAGTTCGACCCAGGGAGCGAGAGCGAGCTGAGATCATGCTGGGCAGAACCTCAATATTCTTTCTTCAAAACACGCAAGGCGCGCAGAAGTGGCCGGTAGGGAGCAGGACGAGCTCGCCCCTGATGATGCACGAGACCTGTCTTCCTTGACTTGTGCTGCTCCTGCCTTGTTGACCTTGTTTTTGCGTGTGTGAACGGACCAGCAGGGCGAGGAGGTGGAAGTATAGGCGGATGCTGCTGCTGCTGCTAATGCCTCTGCTTTTGATGCTGCTTCTGCTGTTGCTGTTGCTGTTGCTGTTGCTGTTGCTGTTGCTGTTGCTGTTGCTGTTGCCGATGCTGATGCCAATGAGAAAGGGGAAGAGGAGGCCGTGCTTTACGTGGATTGCGGCAGGTCACCTCAAGAGCCATCGAGAGCTTGCAAGAAGCTTTCAAGAAATGGCAGTGATCTCTCCTCCCTCCCACAGTAAATTTCCTCCCCCGCCCCTGACACTTGTCGCCTGCCCGCCGTTGGCGCGTCCATCGGAGATGATCCACTTCAGACGTCTTTGAGATCAGAGAGCCTCTCTTCCTCACACGAATCCTTGAGCTCCTCCAACGGCTCTCCTAACCTCCCCCCCACTGCCCATGGCCCTCTACCAACACACCCCACATCTGTTCCGATGCCTCTGCCTCTATCTAGATGCGCGCAGGAGCCTTCCTCTTCTCTTGCAGCCTCTTGTTCCCCTCCTCAGGGAGTGCGTCGGAGGGAACGATCCTTTTCCCAAGTACACTTGACAATAACCCCCAGCAAAAGTATTTCGGGCGTTTTTCTCATATGAAAAAATGATCGCAAGTATACTTGTGATCTCTATTTCAGAATCGCAAGTATACTTGTGATCTCTATTTCAGAATCACAAGTTGAAATAGATAACAGAGATCACAAGTTCACTGAAATAGAGATCACAAGTTCAACAGGTCAGAGTCTTAGCCAGGTTTTGGATGAATGTCTCCGCTATCCACCGGCTCATTTAGAGACATGTTTAATTCTTCAGCATCCTAAAGTTTCAGAAAGGGCACTTAGTGGCCACAAAGGCCATCCTCCTATCTACCCGCAAACACCCCGATAATGCGAACATTGATCAGATTCCTTGACCTCCCCTTGCTCCTCCTCCTCCTCCTCCTCCACCACATCAACAAGAGCGGGGTGTGCGGGGGGAGTAGTAAAACACACCACTCCTCTCCTCCTACTGCTGAAAGATGATGACAGCGGCGGTTGTGTTGTTCCTCCGGCGCGTGTAGAATGAGACACAGAG